GATACTATAGTGTTCTTTCACCCCAGACCCCAAAAAGTAATCGAACTAATGCACTTTTTGGTACTGACGTGACGTGATGTAGTCACATTGAAGTGTTCTGCGGCCTTTGCACTGACGCAAACTTTGCCTGAGTAAAGACTGATTCTATCTGACTCATACTCCTGCACTCTACAGAAGATGCTATTCTAGCCATCAGGACAAGCCTAAACCATGGGATCCAGGACCAAACATTTTGGAGGAGGCCCAACCATGAAAAGATGTATCGCTGACACTCAGATAACGGACACTGCAGCTTTTGTAGCCTAGAGTGGGTAGGGCGTGGATGCTCGACCTGTCATAAGAGCAGGCAACTTGAAATACTCCTTAGCAACTGATATTTTGGTTGAAATTCGTTATATTCAGAGCTGCCACTACGAAGAAGGCCCCAGATAATCCAGGAGTCCACTTTGCGGTAACATACAGAAAAAAACCCATAGAGAATGTCTGTTAACCGTTGAACACTGCTGCCTTCAAGGTTGAAACAATCAGGTCCTGCGAAGCACGTGACATCACTTACAACCTCGCATCACCGCATGGACCTCCTGAGCTACATCACGTTCTGAGGCGCTACATATGCCCCGGGAAGGACCAGTCTGCAGTGATCGGATGGTGCTGGTGTAAAATGCAATTTTTGAGGGAAGGGATCTCCTGGGATGGGTGGGCTTCTTCGGACGCTCCAATTTTTCTACCAATGATTAGTGGTACACGCTCGTCTCCCCTTGGGAGTTGCAGGGTGCTAGAGCGCTGACACGAAGTGCACACCGGCTACTTCCAAGGCACACAGTGCCCTTATTGAAAACCACCTCTATCCTCTTTTCAGCCATCATAATACAGATCTATGGCGCAGTATGCCGACGGGGGGGGGGGGGCATTTTGCCTTTCGTTGCTTCACTAGTTCTGGTTTACAAGTCTCACTCTGGTGAAACCTGTGAACTCTTGTGAAGCTGGAGCAAGCTCGTCAAGCCATCATGGTAAAACCTGTCAACTCGAGAAGAGGCTGTCTAGATGGGTCGACACGTCGATGGGAAGTCGTTAAAGTGCAAAATGTGCCCCCCTCCCTCCCGCCCCCCCCCCCCGGGCAAACAAAGCAGCGCCAGATCTATTCATCCACTTGAAATTAGCCTTGCGCAAAACTGTCACGGACTTGCACAACTGAAAGCTAAGTACAGTTTTGAGAAGCCGTTCAACCAGACCTGCGCCACGACCATCAAAATCGCCGTATTTGCCGGCCAAATAAGCTAGGGAGACGACAATCTTTCCGTCGTCGCGATTGCCAATCCTCGTCGGCAGGATACGTGTATTCCTTTCGAGTCGGCATGTAGCAGACTGTCATAATTGTGGAAATTGAACGATTCAATCAGTTTCTGAACGAAGAATGCCTTTGCCAAGCACCACACTGCCGATAGCTGAGGGCTTACCGCCCCATGACAAAAAAGGCAACGCACGTGAGCTCCCGAGGATATGCCTAGCCTGATCCAGAGGTGCGAGAGAAAAGGGCGAATATCCCATCAAATGTTTTGGAACCAACGGACCGATCATCACTCCAGAAACACCGGATTTCGCTGGTAGACCGACCTGAGAACGAAAGAGATAGTTTATTAAGGGCTTACGATAGGGGTGGAGACAGAGAGCCACTTATAGCGCCACCGTCAACGATTTTCAAAGTGCCTTGGTAAAGAGGGGCAAACCCATCCGCAGTGGCTCCTAGCCATCGGCTTTCAATGCCAGTTGTTAAAGCACATCAGCGTAATGGATAAATTCTGAGCTTGGCTTATTCTAGGCCCCAATCAAGCCTCCTCTTGTAATCTGAGTAACTCAACTTTTGTTTTTTCCCGTTTTTCAGTAAAATTCTTTGAAATTTTGAGTTGAGTCAAATTTTTGATTCTCAATTTTTTTTGAGTTCCAAATTCTCGTTTTTGAGTCGATGAAATTAAAGACTTCCACAGAAACATCGCTATCGGTCATTGCCTGGAAATAGGGAGGAAAAAGATTGATTGGCATATACTACTGGTCCGTTCCGACAAGGGCCAGTCGTACGGTGGAGATTCCCAAGGGGGGTCGTCTGTGATCGTTTTGGGAGGGGAGTGGCCGTATTTCGCTCGAGAAATTTTTTAACAACTGATTTTTCCTGTTTCGCGCACAAGACCACCTCATTGGAGACTCCCATTGGATCGTTGGAGGCCGTATTTGCTTCCAGCCCCCACGCTCGACGGCAAAACTTTGGGGAAAAAGTGGAGGATCTTCTGGAGGAATGACATTGCGGGAAATGAGAAAACTTACGAAAATGGTTGGTAGCTTGGGAAGGGGGTCGTACCATAGGAGGGTTGTAAGAGGAAGAGGTTAAAATCTTGCGAAAATTTCCCCAACGACAGGAAGCGCTCTGTGTGTTCCGCCAGCACATCTTTTCCAAAGTACCGGTCAGGAGATCCAATACGGTGACCCACTGAAACTTTCTAGCATTTCGTAGCTAGTTGACCTGATAAATGTAGCACCACATGTTAAAAAAATTAAGTCATGGTGCGAATGCAGCACTATGTACTGTCACTGCGTCCCTGCAACGTGCATCTCCCTCCCGGTACCCTCTTCTCGTCCTTTTCTCTTTTTGCGGAACTTCCACTGTCAGCCCAAAATAAATGAATATAGCCTTCGTTTTTACCTGGAAAGCAAATTTTCCAGAAAAATCGTACATTCCACACGAGTACATAAGTGAGAGGACGTCCCGGCATGGACGTGGATGAATGCAAAGTTCATCAGTGAGTGGACAAACGCCTGAATTCTCAGAATAAGAAAGAATTCTGCTGAGCGGAACAGGAAGACAATCGAAAAAAGCTTGCCTCCATTCGCTAATGTGGCAGCCATCACAGCTGCTGTGTCACAATTTGTTTCCAAAGAACAAAGTTGAAAATAGAGATCTAATTCTTCACGAAGACCCTGAAAATCGCCCACTCAACAATTCAGCGAATATCATAATTCATCATGCAGTCTTGTTCGCTGCAGATTTTGGGGCGTGTCAAGGGACTGAGCTTAGCGCGGCGCCAGCCACCAACTTTTTCCACCAACTGTTGTCGCCTACCCGCTTCAACAACAGGTGGTGATCAAGCTGGCATTGCGCCAAACCCAGCCCCTGACATGCTCCAGTGTCCGCAGCGAACAAGGCTGTACGTGCCTGAACGTACCTGTGTACCCGGTGGGAAGCATTTGTTCTCTTTCATATAGTAATGAGAGAGCATAGTACGTCGGCGGTTGTCCCCTTTCAAGATGAGCGAATCTAACAAGAGCCTCGGTCAGCAAGGAGGGAGAATTTCAAAGATCGAAAAATTGGAAAAAATTGAATGGATTTCTATAGAAAAGACCGCTAGATGAAAAGTGATAACTTTAATCGATTGCGGACCTCAGCGCATATAGAGTGACCTGGAGGTTCCCTTTTCTCCTTAGAGATAAGGCGCACCCGTGTATTAAAGTCCTATACCGCCCACAAATGTATTCATTCACACTACTTTTGTTTTGTTTGTATTAATCGATGTGGGTAGTTATCTAGGGGAAGTGCTTAAGAACTAATAAAATGATAAATATGTAAAAAGGCAAAAAAGCTGTTGTGGTATGAAAAACATAAAAAATGCGTCCCATAGGCTCAACGAGCTTACGCGGCCATGCCGCCCCCCCCCCTCCTCTCCAAGACAGGTCCAAGATAAAGCCAACCACTTCAAGGTTCGGAACGGTTATACGGAGAACTTCAAGAACTGTTCGGCTAGTTTCGAATTTTTATTTGTAATTTTATTTTTAAATTAGCTCAGTGCTCTCTTTGTGAATATGTGACCTCAGAGCCTGATTCCTGATAGGGCTATATTCATAGTTTGCGGAAGTCACGCCACAATTTCACGACGCCTAACCTAGCTGTCCCCTATCTCCTACTTCCCCGTTCTCTACCAACAGTCTGCTCCTCTCTTTTCCCCATACTCTCTCCTCCTGCGCTGATGTCATGGACATGGCTGTCTGCCCCTAGATCGCATTAGATTACTTTCCTAGACGCCTAGCTGACAGACGCTCGAAACGCCTGATACGTCGCGCGTGGAAGCTACCGCCAAAAGGTAACGCGCCAAGGCTGCGGGGACCGGCGGGGATATTGTTATTAAGATCTCTTCTATTCTCTTCTTGCCTCTTACCTCCTACCACACCTCTAACGAATGCGAACTGATTTCCGCCTCAGTGAAAGGTTCGGAACCGGAGGCTTACAGTTGGAAACAATTCTTGAGCACCAAAAGAGTGCAAAATATTTGCTGTCCCGACATCGAAACATAAACGGGCCAAAGTGCACTTTCAATTTGTCACCATTTATCTGTCCGTCGAGATGGATGACCCCTTTCCGTATCGCTCTCTGAACATTGGACCCTGCCCTTAAATTATACTGCACTTTTCTGTGAATTACGAAAGATTTTGCCCTTGCCCTATGACAGAATGAACAGAGCTCAAATAACGTCATAGAAAATTAATAGCGGCTAAGCAGAGCAGTGTGGAAGTCATGACGTCGAAACAGCGGCGCAAACTAGCAGAGTGTTCCCCACGCAGGTGATGAGTCCCTGCAGAGCAGGGCCACTTCTTGGTTGTATAAGTCCCGGTGCGAATGCCGCCCGCGCGACACGATTTCTAATGCCTTTTTTCGCGTAATGGGATGTGTTAACCATAAGCAACACGTGACACTAAAATCAGATCTGAATAGTTCTCAGCGATCGCTGTGGCTTGCGTTCAACCGTTTTCTCACGGGGGGCTAAAGTTGTCGGCATGCTCCTTTTCCTAGCTTTCTGGAGGACCCGAGGACCTTCACGGCTCTGGTGCTTAGAAACCACAAACTTTTCAAAGTGTTCGAGCTTTTGCCGTAACTCTGCAGCCAATGGACCAAACTCTTTCTTCCGATTTTGATCCGCCTTTTTCGTAGATTTCATGCAATTGTCTTCTTGAAACCAATGAATAAATAAGTAAACAGCTAAAAATGAAAAATAGATGATGAACAAACGGTTGCGTTATTGAATCACATGTTCGCCTCCGGCGAGCTTTCGATACTCGTTCAGTACAAAATCAAAACGATCAGCCATTGTGAGGTGATTTCGTATCAGCGACGTCACAATGATAGCACCGGCATTGATAAGTGGGTTATGTGGTTTTCCTGTAACAAAATGAATCATTGTGGAGCTATTTTTCGCTGCGCATGATGAGGCGTGTCAGGAGGGACAGTTTTGGCCAAGGAGCCAAATCCCTTTTCACCAGTTGTTGAAGCGAACAAGCCGACAAAACTAATGATCAAGATCATTTGTGTTGGTCGTTTTCCACCAACAGTTACCCTTACTCCCTTCACCACTGTGCGGAGAACGAGCTGGCTTCGCGCCAATTCCAGCCTCGCTGACACGCCTCATCACCGTTTATGCCGAACTGTACTCAATGGTCACACATTGAAAAAACTGATACCATTAGCGTCCAAGCAGATTTCATTGAAAAGTCGTCCGCTTGGCTCATGACCAACATAGGAATGAACGAAATCGGCTCCCAGATCTGATGACACAATAGCATAGTTGAAGGCCTGAAACAGCTCTTTCGGATTAATGCTACTGCATGGATAATGGGGTGCGGGGGCAGTCTCTTACAATTTCGCGTCTAGCACCTTATACCTTGTTTACAGAAGAAAGTTTTCAAGAGGGAAGGAGGTATGGTGATGTGATTCTGTTTGCTGCGCATGTGTGTGGAATGACGGTATAAGAGCGACCATCCTCCCCATGCTCCCAAATTTCCACATCTGATACAATCGTCTTCCCAGACTAACCTACCATCTTCCTATGCTTTCCCTACTTTGTACCATTTTTCCAAAAATTTTCCCACTCCCCCCTCCTCACCTCGAAGAGACAGCCGTTGAGCGAAGGGGAGGGGGGAGGGGGATGGAAGATAGCCGCTAGTCGAATTGTCACTAGTCAACTACTAATTTTATCTTCAACCCTAGGGGTGAGTAGGAAGAATTAGCGTTCAGGAACGACCCCCCCCAGCATTTATCCCTTGATGGGCTTCTCCTGAGGATGCTGTACCCTAAGAAGGGAGCTTCAGCGCCGTTTCCCCCATGTCAGTTTTTCAATAGTTACTGTAGCTCCCCACCGCGGGGCTTCATCCCATTCAAATTGCGGTATACTATAACGCTGACGCAAAACTGCAGTGCTGCACCTCCCAAGGAACATAGCGCCCACAATAAGCAACGTACCTTCGACACACTTTGCACACAGAACGGAACTTTGGAATCGCCAAAAGAGACCCGTTGGCCATCAATGCTGCAAATGGAGACACCCCAGATCTCTGGGTTCTGACGAGCCAACTGGGGAATATACGTGGCCACATTGCCATCTTTGACATGTTTGCACTGAAAAAAACCGCGCTATTTCAAGCCTGAAACCGGTAGATGCCAATGAACTTTGACCTCTTCAAATATGGCCTTGACTTGAGCGCAAAATTCTCCCCAGCTTGGAATGATAAGGTGATTACGAAGTGCTTGTGAGATCAATTGCATCGATGGTTGAATGCATCTGAAAAGGAACTAGATAAAAATGAGAAAATCTCTTAGGGATCTGATTTTTTTAAATCTGAATTTAATTTAAATTATTGATTCAATATCAGGACTCCTATTGGAACAATGAAAATCAGAAGGAAGCGCGAAACTTTTAGACAAACAACCACAGAACCTAACAGGACGACAAGAAATAAAGACCCGCCAGATCGCGTTATAAGTTGGGGCCCACTGGCGTGGGAGGGTCGTAGTCGCGGCTTTCTTGACGGCGAAGGTCATACTCGCTTCCGACAATCATGTTTCCGGCTGTTTGACTTTTCTGTTTTCTCGTTCAACATGCGCTCTACCCCTCTCCCATACTACATTTCACGCGCGATTGGTGCTTTCTTGAGAGGATGCTGGAGCAACTGGAGATTTTTCCGGAAAACTGTTTGGAAGTTGAGAAAACAATGGAAGACAGTGTGTAGGATGTAAAAGGGGGACGCAGTGAAAGAAAAACAAGAGGAGACGGGGTCGTATTTTGTAAGAGTTTCTCCACGGGCAGGATCTATCCTAAAGCCAGACGGCATTGCTGAGAGCAGTGGTCGCCACCATCAGAACACGTCTGGACTTTGCAGAGAAGCTCTGCCGAATACGATTCCTTCCCCAAATTTTCTTCTCCGATTGGATCCTCTTCCCGTCCCACCTATCATCTTACTGAAATACCCCAAAACTTCACCGTCGACTGGCAATGGGAGGGGTGGGGAGGAGGGGGAGGGGGTGATTGCGAGGGCAGGTCCCAACTGAAGGAAGTAGCAGCTTCATCAGAAGTGTATCTCCCACGCCTAGTACGACCCCCTTGATGGGGAGCAAGGGGTTTCTAAATCACCGCTTCATCGCGCGCGACAATGGGCGCGACGTTTTCCTTAATTTCCAATACCCCTTTCGATTAGAGCACCGAGTTTCACGTAGACAATGAAATGGTATTCGCTTATGCCTATTTTGGTCATACATTGTCTGTTTTCGACCAATACCATCTGAAATCGTCGTCATTAGCGGACGCGACGTCCACTGCCGCGGCGAACTACACACGACATTCTCTTTCCACATTCCCCGTTCCCCCCCCCCCCTTGCGTGATCCAGAGCCCTGCTTACCACTACTATTTATCCAAGCTGTCAGGCGAACCTCCGGGCGATTCCAGTTGGTGGGTGCAGTCAACTTCGAATATAAGATACTATCACTCGGATAGACGACAAGCAAGACTGACGTGAATTCTTAGAACTGTAATGCTTTGGGTGGATGAAAAATAGTGGTGCAGGATATCACTGTGTTCTCGCTTTCCCCTTTCCTAGCTTTCTAGCCAAAGACTAGGCCTGTTTTTGGCGACCTACATATTCCACCTACCAGGCTGCCAAACAACCCATTTGTTATAAGGAAAAGCCCCTCCCCAACAAATTGCAAGAGATCCTGCATGTTGCCGAGATTGAAAGCGGGCAAAGGATAAACATGATCAGCCTGGCTGGGATTCGATTAAGGGTTTGCCCCACATAATTCCTTAACACATGGTAAGCGCTGCTATTTGCTGCTACATCAACTTAATCTGATGATGAGAACACTTCTCATAAGCACATCCAAAGATACAGTCTACGCTGATCGTAAAGGCGGGAACAGTGGGCTACTTGCCCTTCCTCAATGACGCGTCCTGCTTCCTTACCGCTTGAGGGGAGGAGGAACTGGAGAAGGGCCCCTTGGAGGCACAATTGCCCTCTCTCGCCCAGGCGGCTGGCTCTTTCCTCCAATTACATTTAAGGGTCGGCCCAAACAAATTATGGCCACTGGCCTCTCTAGCCTATTGACTTGTGCGTATAATCCCGCAAATACAAAAAGAGCAGACAAAATTATTGAAAAATGCTCCATTAAGGGAAAAATGTAGGTAAAAGTTAAAAAAGAGGAAGGAAAATGCACCAACTCTTTGAACTTGTCACGGGTTAGAAGAAAATTCCGAGCATCATCGTCTTCTTCTTCAAAACTCTTCATCCTCTCTATCATATGTCGCAATCGTGGATCGGTATCTCGCAGTCCGAAGGATTTGAGGACCTTAATTGGCCGATTAAGCATTTTGGACTGAACCTCATCTTTCGACTCGTTTCTCTTTTATTTTTTTTATTCCCCTCTTCTTCAATAGAGGGCGTCAGCAATGGTCTACCCCTTTTAAAATGCACCACGCATTTTTTGGCAACGGTTTCTGATTGCGACTTGACTTATACACCAACCCAAGAAAGCCAGTCGATGCGAATGGCGGTGCTTTTATCCTCCCAGACAAGATCAGACAAGTTTAGGCTCCCAAAGGGTTGAAGGGTTTGCATGAGGGGAGAGGCGATCCGAGATCTTAACACTGAACACGACACCTCCTGTTGCTGACATTTTCGGGAAGCACGACCTCCCTCCAATCTCGTCCTCTGCTACGACCCCCCCCCCCCTTACCACTTCCACATGCATCCCCCAACTTTTTCCAGTCTGCCACCACATTTTCTGGAATTTCCTTGAAATTTTCCGAGTTCCCTGAAAATTTAGCCGTCCAGGGGGAAGGGGGGAAGAGTTCGTCAGCTACTATTTTCAACTAGAAAAATAGTACCAGTGGTAATTCTGAAGCGCCACCAACTTGGCGAGAGGAGAGGGGGGGGGAGTTTTTCTCGCAACGTGGCGATTTTCTCTCAAGCAGGGCACATCATTATTTGGGAATTTTGGTGAAGTTCGTACGACCCCTCCCTTTTTAGAGAAACTGATACGACCCTCTCCCTATTTCCAGAACCTCATCGAACTGTCGAATACGACCCCCCTCACATCCACATCCACCCACGCTACCTAGCACTTTCTTGGATTTCCCCAAACTACTACCAATTCTTTTCGAAATTCCCCGAGAACCCAAAATATTTGCTGTCGAGCGGGGCAGGGAGGCGGGGCTGTACAGTATACATGAAACAGGAAAAACCACGAAATGCCAACAACCTCTCTCTCAAACGGCCAAATGAGGCCAGAGGCCACACGACCCCCCTCCTACCGCAAATACGACCACCCCCTTTATAGCGTCCTGGAAACAAGAAAATCACTATCAAAAAAATTTTTTCTCAGACCAAGTACGATCCTCCTCTCCCCAGCGACCAAATACGACCCCCTGTTGGGGATCCCCAACGAAGATGTGCCCTGCTCTCAAGGGCGAATAGTCCCCATTGAGATTCCCTGAACAATGCGAATAGCGCTCGTGAAACACAAAAACTCTTCTCGGACCAAACACAACCCTCCCCCTCCCATCCAGCGACCAAGCACGACCCTGCTGGAGATTTTCCGACGTAGGGTCTGTCCTGTCCCTGAACCGGGCATTTGGTAAGTTAAGCCAATCACCACTGCACAACCAAAGCCAAGTAAATGAAAGGCCTCGCATTAGTGCAGGGCTACAATTTTTGAAGGGGGTCGCACAGGTGGCGCATCCCAGGGCTGTGATCCCATTAATGGTGCAAAGCTGAGCACTTCGTCCTCTCATCGCATAGCATTTTTGAGCCCCTCTGTCACACTAGATATCTAAAAACGACAAGAACCTCACCTTGATTAGTTTACTAATACTGGCTTCTTCTTTGTTAGGCATTTTAAAGAGATCAAAAATGAGATCTTCAGGTGAGGAATCGCGTAGTTCGTAGGCATGATTGAGACCTTCGACAGTTTTCGACATGATCTGTGCCACAGAGGTCTTTCGATTGAGAATTTCCCCAATCGCATTCACTGAAACAGTGTTTTTTTTTTTTTTTTTTGTTTTTGCTCGATTAGTCAGTCACTTTGAGATGAAATTCCAACGACAAGTCGTAATGTCTGGCCGAGCGGCCGTTCCGATGTTTTGTTCGACCATCCCCGATCGCCGACGGGGTTCTTCTACACTTCCAGTACAATCACCCAGTTATCGATTCGCTAAAGCAAAGTGCAAAACTGGTACAACCTTAACTACAAGGGTAATTTCGAAACCTCCTCCGGAACGCTTGATTTTCATGAGAATCTCGGCGATGTAAAGCGGAAGGATAAGTAAATTTACCATCAAGCAGTTTTACTGGGAAACTGTTGACTCAGCCCACATCTGCCCCCACAATCGCTACTTATCGGACTAGGTTGGCGCCTTTAAGTCGGCAAACTTTGCTTTTTACTGGATGACGACGTAAACCCTCAGTCTCCACTATCGTCGATTATCGGCTTCTTTCGCCCACAACATTAACTGCTGCCGAGGAAAAAAAATCGCAAACTTACTTATTAAGCAAAATCCCCAACCAATGATGCACCCTGCATACACATAATAATTCAGGGAAACCACCGACGTCTTCCTAAAGGGTGGGACCACCAAGTGCAATAGTTCGTAGGGATGACCGTAATCCTAACTTTGCACGATAGCCCTACAAAGCTACGAAAGCTACGAACACCGTTTCTCGTCATTTCCCTGTTTTTTTTTGAATGCTGTACCGCCTTGAAGACTGAAAGGTGTAAAGCAGAGGATGAGGATTTCACCTAAGCGTAGGTGGTTAGAAGCTCGGGGTGGGTGGACCGATTCCTAAAAGACACTGCCCTGTCTACTGTGGCAGGCTGTTGCGAAACAAAGTCGTGGTTGGGAACTGGGGGGTACTTTCCCGTTTTTAACAACAGAAAACGTTAGTCGTGGATTTCCAAGTCCTGAGTGTTCTACACCAACAAGCTTTACCAACCATATTGGACTATCGCTGAGAAAATTTCTGAAGCGATTTCTGAGCTTCAGATTACCTTGCCCCTATTGAAAAGTTACCGTCGGCCCTACTCGCATAGTACATCTTTCGAGATAGGTGAAGTAACGGAGTCAGAATGACCTCTCGCCAGGGTACATCTGTCATCAGGGATTTTTTTTTGCAAAATATGACCCTTTCAAGAATTCCCTCCTCTGGTTTTTGCAAAATATGAACCCCTGAAGAATTCTCTCCTCTGCTATAATTCCCTCCTTTCCCACTTCTCCAAAAAGAAAAACTACTGTCGAGTAAGAGGTGCTGGGGAAGACCATCACCAATGGGGAAGGCAAATTTATCGAGAACAGTAGTTGTCTTTGGCTGCGTCGCTAAATTTTTTTCAGGGCATGCACTCCCCCACCCCTCCAGCGGGCGACGATTGACCGAATACACCCCCCCCCCGGCTGGAAAACCCTAGGATGTGCCTTGACCTCAAACAAGCTACTTGCCATCTTACCTTATGTTTCTAACATTGGACCGTCGAGCGAGGTGGGTAGACTCCTTCTACTGACTATCAAAAAAAAGCAGTTTATGAAAAGGATTAACTGGGCGAAAGGTTACGCTCGCGATAAGACCTCCTACCCACCAGCCCTGATGGGCTTTGCAGAACGGTGATGTATGCTGACTACTCCATTACAGGTAGGCATTTGGTGCGGAGAAAAAGATGTCAGTGGAGGGTCATTCAACTCCCTTGGGTGAAAGGAGGTCTTTTGAGCCAATGCACTGAAATGGCTGCCGACAACCATGAACCAACAAACCAGGTATTGATTTTACGCGCATCAGCGCAATCTGCGACCACTTTTGAGCGGATACAGATTAGGTTGTCTCGAGTAGAGTAATGAAGCTCACTTACGATTATGTTGAGAATGAGCTTCGTTCGGAGGCGACTGACCAAGAAACGGCATGTTCATCTGAAAGCAGGAAAAAAATCGTCAGGTTATCTAAATCTGGTGAGAACACTGTTATCATAATCCGAAGGGGGGTGTATTTCTAGTGATGACGAAGAAATGAATCAGTAATTGTAAAACAAGTACAAACGTTCGGAACAGATGACGGCACAGTTCATTTACGACTCCACTCTGCGAATTTTGAGCTGGAATCAGCTCTGGGGACAAACTTAACTAGAAACTCGTTCTGCAGTACAGTTTGTCGCCTGAACACTAGTATCACATCCGTAAGCGCTAAAACATCTGGCGCTTGCGATGGGAGCACGTGAGATTCATGTTCAGGAGACAAAGGCCTCAGAGAGCAAATGTCTAGCCAGTTGCACACCCGGAGACAGAGATCGATGAAATGCACAGAACCCGAAGATTCCAGTCGTGAATGGTAAATGGAGCCCGAGTAGCTAGTAAATTTAGGTTTCATGGAAAATACAAAGAATATACCGCACCAAGGGCTAAGCCAAAATGAAATGTTTGGAGAGTTTCGTATCAAGTTGTTACGTCATTGACGACACGTGAACGACGATGGCAAGCTTGAACGTGAAAAAATCGGATGAAGAGAGAGAGAAGGTCGCCATGAGAGCGACTAGAGAGGCAAACATTGGACGAGCAGCAAGCGGATGAGAAGGCGAGTGAGAGGCAGGCGCATTTGGATAGCGTGGCATACGAGAAAGCCTTGGCAATGTGCCAGACGGCGCATTATAAACCCACGACCGCCTGGAAGTTGTGGCATAGTGATAAGCGAAAAGGGCAGAGGTACTTTGAACCCTGGGGTATCGGACATGCGCCTGTGGACGAAGAAAAAATGGGAAAGAAGAGACTTAGCGAGTGCTTTCCCATAAGGACCAATTTGAAAAGAGGGAAATATCCTCAACAAGACCCCTTCTACCTTACTTTCCTTGCCCAGAGTTGATCGCCTTCGAGGGAAGGGGTGGGCCCTCAGTAGACGGTGGCGGAAGCCACCTTGGGAAGGTCGTTTCGGTAAGGCAGGCCGTTGGGGTTGCTGGGGAGAGTCACAAAAGGCCTAGAAAA